GTTTTTTTTATTATAAATCACTTAATTAATAAAAAAATAAATAGAATACTACGATTTTTTAGCTTCGATGCGAAGCTGAGAAGGTATTAATTTTACTAAAATGTGTTTTTTTTATATATATATTTTTATATGTTTTTAGCTTCGATGCGAAGCTGAGAAGTTATTGGTTTTACTATGATGTGTTTTTTTTTTATTTTTATTATTTTTTTTTTTTTGTGTGTCTGTTACCACTTTTACTCAGCTCTCACCGAACGGATTTCTTTCAACGATACGTCAAAAGATCATAAATCCTATATAGTTGAAGACATTACCCTCAAAAATTGAAAAAGTTTCCCTCGTTCCCCATAAATGGGGAAAACCAACAAAAAAATTACAAAATATAAAAAGCGCTAATTTTTTCAATTTTTTCAATTTTTTTTACTAAAAACTGCCGTAAATTTTTCAAAAATGAACATATCAATATGTTAACATAAAATAAATGATTGATCGGAGATGAAAATTAGGAACATTAAAAGGAATTAAACTTAAAATTTCTAGACAATCTACATTATTATTAAGGAGATTATAAATCCAAAAAACATCATTGCATTTTCTCCTGCAAGCAAGGGAAGTTAAACCAAGAGAGATTCGTATTTCATCGATCGACACATCATAATTCCTAGACTTAAATGAAATGAAATGTAAAAAACGTCTTTGTATAGATTCTATTCTATTAATTACACCTATTTTGTACGGACATATTCTAAAATTAATCTTACAAAAGAAATGTACAAGGTTTTGATACACAAAATATTATTGAATTCATTACAGTTTCTTCTCAAAAAGCCAAGTGTTCATGTCGCTTTATTGTAAATATAATCTATATGGTTAGAAAAAGATAAATCACTGGATAATATAACTCCTAAATCTTTAATACTATAAACATTAAACAAATTACAACCATTAATCGTATATTCATTAATATTTACATTTTTAGAACGAGTAAATGTTATCTGATGATATTTATTTGTATTAATTAATAATCCATTTTTTACACCATAAACTGAATTTATCTAAATCTGATTGTAATTTACCATAATCATCAATTAATTGAATGGTCATAAATAACTTAAGATCATCCGCAAAAAGCAGAAAGTTACAGTGTTGAAAAATTTGACATAAATCATTAATAAAAACGATAAAAAGTAAAGGAGACAAATGGCCAACTTGTGGTACTCCTGAAGTAACATTAGTTATATTCGAAGTAAAATTACCTATTTTGATTTGTTGATTTCTATTTTTGAGAAAGAAAGAAAACCACGCAAGAATATTATGATATGGTTTAGAAATTAACTAATCGATAATACCTTTTGGACTATTATTTCCGAAGTTATAGACATATATATATCTAGAAAAGACGGACGAGAAATAAATAGTGATAAAAATAATAACACCAGCGTTTCATCTCTAGTCATCATTATATATCAATCACTCTGCATACTGTCAAATACATTTGTCAATAATACACTCAATAAGTTTTTTACATACTTCTAAACAAAGTATCTATATTAAAATATATATTATTAAATTTACTGTATATATTTTAGCATATATTATAAGATATTAACTAACAATAAAAAAAGAATTAGCCAAGACAATGTTGAATACACATATGTATTGTAATATTCATTCAATTGTTTTTACCAGTATAGTAAAATAAACTAGTATTTTTAAAAAAAAAGTTGTATTATTTTTATGTTAGAAATAAAAGTCGTCATTCACTTTATACAAAATACTTTTACTAATGTTTTTATTATAATGTTTTTCAAACCAATAATTATAAAATAACAGTTATTTAAATTATCGAAATTGTAATAGTAACAAGTTTTTTTGATGAGTAAAAAAAACTGTTGCTTATACATGTATATGTAAATTTATAAATCCACTTAAAAGATAATTTTTTTACTAATATGTTAAAAGAACTAGACTAGATTTTTGTTTAATACTAATTTTGTAAGTAATATGCTTTAACATAAATTAAAGTTTTTAATAATTTATAAGTAACACCTTAACACAATTTAAATAAATACAGTTTTTATAATTCTATTAAACAATACTTATAAAAAATTATAAAGTTAAAAATTTTCTTTGGCAGTTATTAGTCCACTAAATCTAATTTTAAAAGTATAACTTTAATAACAATGTTTAGTCTACTTTTGGTGAAGTTTTTATCTTGTGTTCAATTATATTACACTTATTACTTATTTATACGCCAAATTGTCAAAACACGGATTCATTAATGAAACGTTTGTTGAAAAGAATTTATTTTTTAATTCCGGTTTTTAGGAAAACGAAACAGATAGAATAACATGACGGAGCCATCATAGTACTTCCATCAATGCATCATATTTAAATATGCTTTACTCCAGTTTGGTCATAAGACTTCAAAATATTTGTACACAGTTAATACATTTTTTTAGTTTATCAATTATATGTTTTACAATATACCTATTTGTTTACTATTTTTTTTCGCGTCATTAATTGATTTATTATATCCCTATACTACAAAAATTAATCTTAAAAATAAGAGTTACATACAAAATTAAAATCAAAATTTTACTAAATTATAGTTTTATCCAAATAAAATCAACTCTCAATTAAATTATTTATTTTACAGTATCGGTCGTAATGACAACGGTGGAGTAATTAAAGACCTGCTATAGCAAATTACATGAAGTTTTAATAAAAAATAATAGGCCAATCAATGACCTCAACGATCCATAGCGAATTTAAAAAAATACTTAACCTGCAGCCTACAATATGGATCAATAAAAAAATGATAGAGACACAAGACACAAATTTTCTTTCAAATAAATAAATTTCCTGATGGAAAATTACTTTCCCATTAATATATTTAAACTAATTAATTTTTACTTTTTAACAGTGATGGGAAATATCTAATAGTAACTATCGAACTATTCGATAGTCATTAAAAAAATATTCGATAGTTTAAAATATTTGAAAATGCCCATCACTAATTCTTACTTTTAATTATTATACATTAATTAATTGTATAATAATTTATTTTAAGTATTCGTTAATTATCTTCTTATTATAATTTAGTATACTTAATACAAATTTTAAGTAGACTGATCAAACATTTTTTAAAACCATTCGGTAGCCATTCGAATAATTTTTAAAACTATTTGATAGTTTGTGCTAAAACTAAACTATTTGGTTGCACAAAAACAATTCGAATAGATATTCGATAGTTTAAAATATTCGAAAATGCTCATCACTACTTTTTAATCTACAATTACTGTAAAACAATAAGCAATAGAATATCTTTATTTAATTTTAGAGATGCCGAATCACAGAATAAACATAAGGTAATTTATTTTTCTATTATAGCGCTTTTGTTTTGAAATCGAGCATCAATGAATGATTCGTAGACTTTAATAGATTAATGATATAAAATAACACATGATATGAACAACTAAGGACAATGCCGGAGCTAGATATTTTGGGATCTAATGCAAATACATTTTTGCAGAGTTCTTTTAATTTTGTCGTCATAAAAGTTATATTTTTTTTAAATTTCATTTATGGGACCCTTTTAAGGACAAAACGCTAGAACGTTGGAAAGTAACGCAAATACATTACTTCCCAACCGGCCTTACTAAAATTATGAATATTAAAAAAATATTTTTACATACAACAACTTATTTAAAAGGGTCAACAATTTTAAAATATAAAATAGGGTGCTTATTTCACTTTTTTAAATGTACTAAAAAGTTTTCAATAACGAGATTATCAAAAAACTTTTATGGGTATCCTTTCTGAAAAATTTTCTTGAAAAAAAATTGAAATAAAAACAAATCAGAGAAAAGAATCATAAACGTGATGGTTTTTTATTGTTTAAATTCAGTACAGAAACACGTAATGATAAAAAAAAATTATTATTCACAGTCAACCGCCATTTGACGACTGAACAGGTTAGTG